TTGAGCTTTTTGGGGAACCTCCATACTGCTTTCCACAATGGTTGAACTAATTTACATTCCCACCAGCAGTGTAGGAGGGTTCCCCTTTCTCCGCATCCTACCCAGCATTTGTTGCTGTTTGTCTTTTGGATGGTGGCCATCCTAACTGGTGTGAGGTGATATCTCATTGTGGTTTTAATTTGCATTTCCCTGATAATTAGCGATGTGGAGCATCTTTTCATGTCCCTGTTGGCCATCTGAATTTCTTTGGAGAAGTGTCTGTTCATATTCTCTGCCCATTTTTTAATCAGGTTCTTTGCTTTTTGGGTGTTGAGGCATGTGAGTTCTTTACATGTCCTTGTCGGACATGTTGTTTACAAATATATTCTCCCATACTGTAGGATGCCTCTTTGTTCTGTTGATGGTCTTTTGCTGTACAGAAGCTTTTTAGTTTGATGCAGTCCCATATGTTCATTTTTGCTTTTCTTTCCCTTGCTCAAGGAGATGCGTTTAGGAAAAAGTTTCCCATGTTTATATTCAGGAGATTTTTGCTTATGTTGTCTTCTAAGAGTTTTGTGGTTTTATGACTTACATTCAGGTATTTGATCCATTTTCAAGTTTACTTTTGTGTATGGGGGTAGACGATAATCCAGTTTCATTATCTTGCATGTAGCTCCCAGTTGTGCCAACACCAGTTGTTGAAGAGGCTGTCATTTCCCCATTGTATGTCCATGGCTCTTTTATTGTATATTAATTGATCATATATGCTTGAGTTTATATCTGGGCTCTGTAGTCTGTTCCATTGGTCTATGGTTCTGTTCTTGTGCCAGTGCCAAATTGTCCTGATTATTACTGTTGCTTTGCAGTAGAGCTTGAAGTTGGAAAGCAAGATGTCCCCTGACTTATTCTTCCTTCTCAGGATTGCTTTGGTTATTTGGGTCTTTTGTGGTTCAATATGAATTTTAGAACCAGCTCTTCCTTTCATTGATTCTTTCTATTGTTTTATTCTTCTCAATTTTATTTATTTCTGCTCTAATCTTTATTATGTCCCTCCTTCTACTGACTTTGGGCCTCATTTGTTCTTCTTTTTCTGTTTTCATTAACTGTGAGTTTAAACTATTCATATGGGATTGTTCTTTCCTGAGTTAGGCCTGTATTGCAATATAATTCCCACTTATCATCGTCTTCACTGTGTCCCACAGATTTTGTGCTATTGAATTATTGCTCTCATTTGTGTCTATATATTGCTTGATCTCTATTTCTATTTGGTCATTTATCCATTGATTATTTAGGAACATGTTGTTAAGTCTCCATGTGTTTTTGGGAATTTTTGTTTTCTTTGCACACTGTATTTCTAGTTTCATCCTTTTGTGGTCTGAGAGGTTGGTTGGTACAATTTCAATCTTTTTGAATTTACTGAGGTTCTTTTTGTGGCCTAGTATATGATCTCTTCTTGAAAATGTTCCATGTGCACTTGAAAAGGATGTGTATTCTGCTGCTTTTGGGTATAGAGTTCTGTAATTGTCTGTTAGGTCCATTTGTTCTAATGTGTTGTTGAGTGCCTGTGTCTCCTTACTTATTTTCTGTCCGATTGATCTGTCCTTTGGAGTATGTGGAGTGTTGAAGTCTCCTAGAATGAATGCATTGCCTTCTATTTCCCCATTTAATTCTGTTAGTATTTGTTTCTCATATGTATGTGCTCCTGTGTTGGGTGCATAGTTATTTTATAATGGTTATATCTTCTTGTTGGACTGACCCCTTTATCATTATGTAATGTCCTTCTTTGTCTCTTGTTACTTTCTTTGTTTTGAAGTCTATTTTCTCTGACACAAGTACTGCAACTTTTGTTTTTTTCTCTATTAGTTGAATGAAATATCATTTTCCATCCCTTCACTTTTAGTCTGTGTATATCTTTGGGTTTGAAGTGAGTCTCTTGTAGGCAGCATATACATGTGTCCTGTATTTTTATACATTCAGTGACTCCATGTCTTTTGATTGGTGAATTCGGGCCATTTACATTTAGGGTGATTATCAATAGGTATGTACTTATTGCCATTGCAGGCTTTAGATTCATGGTTACCAAAGGTTCAAGGGTAATTCCGTTACTATCTAACAGTCAAATTTAACTCACTTAGTATGCTATTGCAAACAAAACCTAAAGGTTCTTTTTTTCCCCCTCCTTTTTGCTCCTCCTCCATTCTTTATATATTAGGTATAATATTCTGTACTCTTTGTCTTTCCCTTGACTGACTTTGGGGGCAGTTGATTTATTTTTGCATTTGCGTACTAATTAATTGTTCTACTTTCTTTACTGTGGCTTTATTACCTCTGGTAACAGCTATAGGAACATTTCCATTTATAGCAGTTCCTCCAAAATACACTGTAGAGATGGTTTGTGGAAGGTAAGTTCTCTCAGCTTTTGCTTACCCAGAAATTGTTTAATCCCTCCTTCAAATTTAAATGACAATCTTGCTGGATAAAGTATTCTTGGTTTGAGGTCCCTCTGCTTCATTGCTTTAAATATATCATGCCAATCCCTTTTGGTCTGTAAGGTTTCTGCTGAGAAGTCTGATGATAGTCTGATGGGTTTTCCTTTGTATATGATCTTTTTTCTCTTTCTGACTGCTTTTAATAGTCTGTCCTTATCCTTGATCTTTGCCATTTTAATTATTATATGTCTTGGCATTGTCTTCCTTTGGTCCCTTGTGTTGGGAGATCTGTGCACCTCCATGTCCTGAGAGACCATCTCCTTCCCCAGATTGTGGACGTTTTCAGCAATTTCCTCCTCAAAGACACTTTGTGTCCTTTTTTCTCTCTTCTTCTTCTGGTACCCATATAATATGAGTATTGTTTCTTTTGGATTGGTCACACCATTCTCTCAATATTCTTATATTCCTAGAGATCCTTTTTTCTCTCTGTGTGTCAGATTCTTTGTATTCCTATTCTTTAATTTCCATTTCATTTATTGTCACCTTCACCATATCTAATCTGCTTTTAAAACCCTCCATTGTGTTCTTTAACAATTGGATCTCCATCCTAAATTCTTTCCTGAGTTCTTGAATATTTTTCTCTACCTCTATGAGCATGTTTATGATTTTTATTTTGAAATCTCTTTCCGGAAGATTGATTAGTTCAATCTCACTTGATCATTTTTCTGGTGTTTGTGGGATTTTGGTTTGAACCAGGTTTCTTTGACCTTTCATATTTGTATGTGGCACCCTCTAGTGCCCAGGAGCTCTACTCTCTAGCACTGCTCAGTCCCTGGAGGGATTTTGGGGTCCCAGAGTAGCAGTGCTGGTGCCTGGGTGGAGGAAAGAGCTGTTTCTTTCTTCCCAGCTGCTATGCCAGTCTCCACTGCCAGAACCAGTAAGCTGAACACAGAGGTGTAAGCCTCTATGCTTTTCATTTGTAGCTTCTGTAGGAGGGGCTTCCCTCTGGCTGGCCTGACACCAAGACAGGGGTTGCCGGTTTGCAAGCCAGGTGTGGGCTGGCCAGGAGGAAGACACAGCAGGCTGTGTATCATGGACAGGGGCCTTGGAGCTGCATAGCCAGCCATGGGGATGGAGTGCCTGAATATCCTGAAAACTCCCAACCTGCTGGGAAGAGTACACCTGGACAGTTTTGTCTACCTGTCCTTTCTCCTGAGTACTAAGCTTTGTGCAATCCTTGCCTCTTTAGCAGCCCTCTCACTGTTAGGAAGTCTCTCATACTATCCGCCCAGAGCAGCCTGATATGGATCCCTATTTTCCACAAGCAGCTGGAATATCAGTCTCTCCAGGTATTCCGCCTGTTTTAGCTTTCCAATCCAACTAATCACCAGAGCACCATGCAATGTAGGTTTGTGCTCCCAGAGCATATCTGCAGGGCTCTGGGTTAAGCAGTCCCAGACCTCCACTCCCTCCCCGCTCTGTTTCTATTCCTCCTGCCAGTGAGCTGGGGAAGGGGAAGGGCTTGGGTCCAGCCAGGTCACAGCTTTGGTACGTCACCCTGTTCTGTGATGTCTGTTATTTTCTCCAGATATATGCAGTGTGTGTAGCCTTCTTTCCTGTTGCTCTTTCAGGATTAGTTGTATTAATTATATTTTTGTGTATATGTGGTTTTATGAGTAAGTCTCTGTCCCTCCTCTCATGCCGCCATCTTTAATGTTCCTGATCCTTTCTGTTCTTGCGGAGCTTAGAGTTTGGTGGGAATAAGAAAGTAATGATACCTATGACAAAGAGAGCATATGAGTCACTTCAGGCACTGCTCAGGTTAAGGGAGGTGGGATAATTTGGGAATGGAGTTATTCTCATGAGAAATCAGTGATATTGTCAATTATACCTCTTATCTTTCCTCTGGTTGTAGTCTTTGAGTGCATGCAGAATTAATCAGAAGAATGCTATTTTTTGGTTGTGTTCCTCTTTGTGAACTTATTTTACATAATTTGATTTAAGTTTCAAAGAAGAATGAAGTGGTATATTTTCCCCTCAAAAGATGCAGTTGGAAAAAAAACACATGACATATTAGCCAACATTTAATAAATTTAATAAATTAATAGGAATTATCACAAAAAGTTGGAGTGGATAACATATAGGAACCAGGAATAAGACAACATTTTGCAACCATTCGCAAAAAGTACCATTTGATGAAGGAGAAGATTTACAGGAAATAATATAAGGCAGTCTGTTGCATGTGTCTCAAACAGGTATACATATACAATAGTACATCAAAATAATTTGACAGTAAATTTACCACATTTACATTTCTCACATGGAGTTGTTTTTAAAACATTTATAAAAGTTTATAGATTTAACATTGAACTGTAAGATTTATATCCAAATGAGTATATCTGTTTCATACCGAACTGCACAGAACTTATGAATAGCACAGAATTTGAGGATAATTACTGTGTTGGGTACTATTAAGTACTACTAGTTGATGACATAAGAATTATTAACAAATGTGCTATAAGCTATTACCATTCAACTTATTGCTAGTGCTTTTGAAAATCCATGGTTTATATTTTCTTATAAGACATGTGCTATGAGCTTGCCCTGATAGTTGAAAAGAAATCAGATGTTTCCAGTTTTCTCTGATACTAACAGTACTTCAGATCTGAATGCATGTTCTTTGTAAGGACTGCTGAAGGATTTTCTTCAGGCCCTTTAATATCACCAACTCTGCCTTACTTTAATACAGATCGATGGATTCATGCAACATACATGGCATACATGCAGGACTCCATCTGTATGTGCAGAACTCATGTGCAATGCATGCTGTGTTTCTTCAGACATTTTCATTTCAATAAGAATTAGATTACCTCATTCAATTTCATATAATTGTTTTGACATGCAGTTCAACAGAACTAACAGGCAGGTAGACTTCACTTTCATGTTATATTTGGGCATGCTCAAGCAATTGATTGACATTTGGCAGTGTTGCAAATCAGGTACAGACTGTATGAGTTTTCTCAAATACAGCAGCTCTCCCACTGCCCCTGTGGCAGACTGTTGGATTTATCTATGCTGTGTGTTGAGGACACAGACTAGGAATTTTAGGAAATTCAGATTATGCCTTCCCTAACTTGAAGATACTGAGAGGCACCCTCTAAGGATTGTAAGTAACTGTCAGGCATAGAAAGTAGCATCATGAATTTTTCAGAAATTGATCCACAGTCGTGTGAAATGGACACACATGGAAATAGTTACTGGGAATACTTGTATACTCTGCACACAGCATAGACTTGATGGTCTGACTTTAGCAATGCTTGAAAACCTTTCAAGGTTAGCAAACTAGTAAAATGGTACTGAATTGTTAGCAGCAGGCCCACAAATGAAAATATGGCCAACACTTATTGTAACACAACACTATATTTTTAACAAAGATTTAAACTTCTGGTACATAATTGCAGTACAATGAAGAGCTTGCCACTTTCACAAATTAGCTGCAGCCTTTTCCTGCACTAGAGAGTTTGGAAGGATCTGAAAATGAGATAAATTTTGTTTAAAATCCAAATGGAAACTCTGTATTTATGTTATCCCCAGAGTTCAGTAAAAGCGTCTTTTTAATTACTTTTTTTCACATTCTAAGGGCCTAGTTCTGTAGTCCTTAATCAAGTAAAACTCCCAAGGTTTTGATCATTTATCCTTCCAATGCTAGTTTTACTTAAAAATGGACTGCTAAATTAGGTCCTATAGATAGAGGTACCATAATTAAGAAAATATTTTAATAAGGCTCAAAATGCTAATTTCACTTTGTGTGTAGCACATGAATTTCCAGGATCCTGAGATCAAAACCCAATTGATATTGAATCCTGGATTGAGAAATAACTCTGGGATCTTGTTTCCCAGTTTAGTTATGGAATTAGGTATTTACTAAGGACCAGAATGAAAACACTAATTCCACTTTGCTTGTCATTATAATCGGAATTTGAACATTGTCCTGAAGAAGTGAAAAGCTATTGGTGTATATATGTTGTATCATCCTTCCACTTCTGTAGTCCTGGTTAACTAGCTGCTATGTTAAAATACCACTATGGGGACAGACATTGCAGCAAAATATCAACACAACATTCTGACAATGTCAAATTTTGCCCCTATATGTGATGACAAGGCTAAGTTCTACCTTTGACTCACTAATAGGTGTGACAGAGTATCAGAAAGCAGAACCTGTCTTACTGTGTTTATGTGTATAGATGAGCAGAGCAAGAATTTAAAGTGCATATTTACTGTTAACCCAGAAAAACACTCTACTCAATTTGTTAATTTTGGTGTGGTTGAAATTTAACCACTGTCATGTGCATCATTCTGGTCTCTGGCAAATGCCACCTGAGATGAACATCAACATTTCCTTATGCACAAAAGAAAGAGAGAGAGAGAGAAGAAAAGAAAGAAGGAGAGGTAGGGAAAAAGGAAGGGGAAAAAAATCAATATTTTTATACATCAAAGAATCAAAATAAGTTACTCTCAATCTATTATAAACAGTAAATATAGAACCGTAAATCTCACTATTGTATGCATGATTGTAAAGTACAGGATTGCAAAGCTATATATAAAAACACCTTTTTCAGACAACAATATTTACATTAGTTATGACTGACGGAAGAGTTATACAATATTTTCCTACATTTGTAGCTTTACTGTAGGAAAAGACTGTGCTGCTATTTCTTACACACTACTAATCCTTTCACTAACCACACTGGAAGGATTAACCGGTAACTCCAAATTCTCAATTTGCATCTCTATACCAGGCTCATTGTCATTAGTTTCCTTAATCACCGGTTCATTGGTATGCCGGTAGATGTTAACATTAAGCTCCCTCCCGGACAAAGCAGTGGCAGCAACTCTCGGGATTTGTCTGACAGGAGGCTTTTTCTCTGCTTTATAATTGCAGCGCAAATAGTTGGAGAAAGCCCTTCGGTAAATTTTGTTGAAAAGAGTGTACACCAGAGGATTAATTCCTGAACAAACATAGCCAATCCAAACAAACACATTCAGAAGCTTTTCCATAAGCTTTTGATTACAGGCTTTCCCACAAAGAACCGACAGAATATTGGTAATAAAAAATGGGCACCACATGATGAGAAACACAAAGAAAACGATGCCGAGGACTTTTGATGCTTTCCGTTCATTGTTGATAGCCTGCATGGTGCCCCTAGGACGTCTTTCTTTCTTCTTTCTTCGCCGAGGATTCAAATCTTGTTTAGGGTTTCCAGAGTTCTCTTCCCAGGTGGTATTCTTGCAGCACTTAAGGAAATCCAGGCTTATTCCAGGCGGTTCTTCGGTGTGGCCATGCAGTAACATCAGTGCTTGTCGTCGGAGAACGTGAATCGTCAGGCAGTACGTAATCACCATGATCGTCAGCGGTATGAAGAATGCTACGAAGGACCCAATAAGAACAAAATTTGGGTCATTCAGCACACAAGTGGTGTTGTTGACAAACACTTTGTCTTCATCTCTCAGTCCAATCACTGGGATAGGAACTGATACACCTAAGGGAACAAAAATGCAGTAGGGCATTGTTATAGCATATTGAAAGATTGAACAGATTGATTCAATGGCAAACATTCAATTGCATTTCACAGACCTGATATTTGTTGAAAGCTATTCACAGCATAAATTGATAGTCACATAAAAGAATAACAGTATGATATCAGAAAATGACATCTTTTTTCATGTGAGGAATGCTTCTCCCCAAATTTCTGTAGAAGGCATGGACTACCATTATTGAGATGAGCTATTTAGATATGTTTTTGTGTAAGGTTGGATTGTGTCTGTTTTATTTTGTTTCCAATTGCCAGAACTGTCCTGGCTCATAGAAGGAACTTAGTAAATATTTGTTTAATGAATGAATGATTTAAATCTGTACTCCATACATTAATAAATTCACTCATTCATTTTTTAGCATATCTTCTAAAGGCAATAAAAATAATGTACATACCACCTATAAGAGTAATAATAGCATATCAAGGTTGGCTGAGCTGAGTTTGAGATAAGTATTTTTTTTTTAGAGATACGTTTTTAACTGATTAACATTCAAGTGTACTTCCCCCTTTCCTGGGGAAGGAGGTCAAGAAGAGAAAATTTTACCTGTGAGTCCTTTGGAGACAGGGCCTGGGAGTCTGCAGTTACTGGAGATGCAGAGGACAGTATGGCCCCCCAAATATGCTACAGGGACTAGATCTGAACACTATGCAGAAATAATCTATAAGCAGAAACAAAGGATTCTGTGTTTTAGCAAGAGTTTTTGTGAGACTCTGGGCATAAGCAATGTTGTTTCAAGGTCAGGAGGCAAAGTGAATTACAGAGTTGGGAAAGATGTAGTCCTCAAAATTAAAAATTCTGAGCATTTGTTTTTTGAGAATACTGAAAGGCGGTACTCTAGGTAAGCACCTCCATGAATAAATAGGCTCACTGGCAGACAATATCAACAAGGAGGTGAGAGCAGAAGGTGACTTGTATTTAAGCATGAGTAAGAAACATGTAAATTTTCAGAAATCACTATGGTAGACCCTGAAGAGGCCATACATCAATAAGTAGCAGTAACTTGTAAGTGAAATTCAAATTTTAATATTAATTTTTTTCTTTCATGTGTCCACAGGAAGTCGAAGCCTGAGAAAATCTAAAGTGCACTTTTAGGGTTCTACTGTTAGGCAGAAAGACAAAAATGAGTGGGATGAAAAGGAGAGAGCCCCCCACCCCCAACCACTCCAAAAATGACTCAGGGAGTTGATTAGATAGAGTCAGAAATGACTCAGAGAATTAATCAACTGTAGCCATAGGGTCCAAGAGTGACTCAGGATGAAGGGTCCCCACCAGTAAGATGGCAAACTTCCGGCTTCTCTTCAGGGTCCTCAGTTCCCGCCGGCGCCACCTGAAGCCCAATCACCTCTCGCCCCCCTCCCAATCCCAGCACCTAGCCAACAGCCACCAGCCCCGTAGAAGTGACACCTCAATCAATTCATGCCCCTTCCTATATAACCCAGCACCTTTCCCTAATAAAGCGGAACTCTCCGGTGAATTGCTGCTATGTGTCCCTCCTTTCCTTTCATAGGAAATGTCCAGGGTCCCCCAGATAAGAAACGTCAGAAGCACAGGCACGCACAGCCCTTGTCCACATTTCACCAATCAGAGCAAGCCTAGAGGGCTAAGAGCTGTCAATTACGGACCTCTCTGCCCTGCCAAAACCACATACAAGAAGCCTCAGAATGAAGATCCGGGCCTTTCTCCCTTTAGGCAGGCCTGCTCTGTTACTCTATGCAGAGTGCAGGAAAAGTGACTTTGCTTTCTTGACTTTGGTCTCTTCTCTCACTATATCTGCTTCCCTGCAACACTGAGCCTAGTCCTTTCCTTCCTAACAGAAACACTCACCACTTTGATATAATCATAGACAAGAAGGCTATTTTCTGACAAAGTGTTGGTAGAAAACTCTGTTATGCTTTCTCAGGATTCTAGAACAAGACCAGAGGAGGGGTAAAAGGGAACTGCTGCTCTTCCCACTTCTCTCCACCCCCAGCAATGTAGGAACTAGAGCTTGAGGCTAGAGAGTTGGTCTAGGGAATTTTCATTCACTCTGGAGGAATCTTGATAAGGATAGACATACCTACATTCAGGAAACAAGTACTGGAGTGGAGGTCTGCTTTTCCACAGGAAATGCTGCATAATCTAGGTTTTCCTAGAGACATTCCTAGAGTCTCTGGGGAAGGCCTCACACTCTGAGCATAAGATAAGTGGAAGTCAGCATTATTCAGAGACTAGCTCTGGAGTGGTATTAGTTTGCTTCTGTTAAAAGATTTATTGGCTTTCCTAAGGGACTCCTGGGCATAAAAGAAGGCCTGTGTCAAAGGATAGCAAGAGAGGGTAGCAGATGATTCCAGATGATCTGAAGCTGTTATTGGATATATGAGGCCAATTTTATCCCTGGCATCTATTTGTATAATTTTATGTACATTTAGTAAAAAGTGATCTTAAAGCTGCCTTTTATTGAGTCTATTTTATGTACCAGGTACTGAACCATGTATGTTATTGACATTACAGATTAAACTGTATCATCTCAATTTGGTTAAAAGCCTTATAACATAGTTATTATTTGGTAAAGTAGCTTAGCCATTTTACCATTTTATGCCATCTAGTTTTCTTACTTTCTTTTCTTTTCATTTATTTATTTTAAAAACTGTGAATGCAGTCAACAAAACGAGAAACTCAAGAGTTCTTTTATCAATATCTGAAAGTTCTAAATAACAATAACAACTGAAGTAGCATTAATAATAATATATATTGCACAGAGGATCTCATTCAATACTTGAAGAAAATTAAAGGTATGTGCCAGCAGTTCTCAAAGTGTGGGTCAAGAACCCTGGGGGTGGTCTCTGAAACTCTTTTGGAGAGCTTACTAGGTTTCCCTTTTCTAACTATTTGTCTTTAAAATTGCATTTTCTGCATAAAGTTCAACCCAAACAATGAATCACAAAAGGTTGAATGCAAATACATACACAAGAATCCAACCATCTTTTCATGAAACTAAACTTTAAAGAGATTTTCAAAACTGTAAATCACCTATCTTCTCTGATTTTTTTGAAAAATGTAGTTCACAAAAATATTTAAGTTGATACTAAATGGGTTCATTATTGTTATTTAAAATGAATGATTCATTATTATTTTAAACATTTATCAGTTTTAACTCCTAATACAATAAATATCAATAGATATAATCCACATTAACAAAGCTCTTTGGTGTCTTCAATTATTTTGAAGAGTAGAAAGGATTCCTGTCACCAAGAGTTTGAAAGCTGTTATTTTATTTTAATGGATAAAGTTATTTAAGTTCTGGAGAGATAAGTTCAGCAAATGTGTAAACTCTTTCTCAGTATTTTAGATTTGTCAAGCAGTAGAAATTCAGGTGATATCATAATGTCAGGTAAATATAAACAACATTAGTAATAGCAAGAAGAAACTTTGCATGCATTATATCATTCATTCTCCTAAAAAGTCTGAAAGACAATGTTATTTGGTGAAGTTAACTTCAGAAAAGTTACATAAGTTTACCAAACACAATGGAGCAATCTGATATTTTAAAAATCTTTGATTTGGCCAAAGAGTGAAAGTGAAAATGAACTACTATAGAAAATACCAGGTACAAATAATTGCAGTAACAGTAAATAACCACCTGCCTCCTATTTGTCACACACTGAGCCAAGTATTGTACAATTATTATATACTTTCATATATTATTTTATTCAATTCAGACATAAAACATAGAAGGAATTGTTAACTAGAATTACTCAATCTTTCTGTAGTTAACTTCAGTAAATCTATATCATCTTTTGAACTTTAGAAATAACAGATAAGTTTTAAGTCATATATCCTGCTGAAAATATCAGGTACAGTTAGATATTTTCTATGCATTATCTCATTTAGTTATTTAAAAATCTGAAAAGTGATTATTATTAGGGCCTTAGCATTTTAGAATTCAGTAATATATAGTTCATGTTTTTACTGAAAATATCATGTGTTACTACTACTGTAACTTCTACTACTCTTACTATTGCTATTACCACCACCACTACTACTATTATTCGTTGAGTGCTTACTGACTCTTGTGTTTTATCTGCATTACACATTCTACATGCATTATCTTTTTCCAGCTTCATAAAAGCCATACAATAACAAGGTTATTTTACTTCAAATAAGGCAAGTAAATTCAGAGAATGTATAAAGGTATTCACATGATTTTTTAAAGCCTTGAATTCCAGCAACACAGATTGGTTCTCTTCAAAATATTAGATGGTAATAATACCAAATGCCAATGATTCTTAGATGCACATTTCTCTCAGATTTTAACATTTTTGAAAGTGTGATGCCTGTAACAACCAATAGCATCTTAGAATCACCATTAGCTGAAAGGCAGTTATTACAGAGTTGTCATCATCAGTGTATGTGTGAACCTGGTCTGAAAAACTTTTGACATCTCCTGGTGAGATCAAAATTCCCAGCAGCAAAATTTACACAGTGGGTATCAGCAGTACAGAAATAATTCAATGTGAATGAAAAATTATGTCTTAACAGACACAGGGAGAGAATGTTCTGAAGAAGGCATCCTTAACATCATCAAATACCATAGAAGGGTCTAGAATTTGAAATATCTCTGTCTTTGAAAATGAGGTGGTCACTGGTGATTATAGGGAGAACAATTATAGTGCAGTAGTGAATACAGGAAATAGATTATTGAATAAATTTCCTGGAAAACATTGGCCAAGATCAAAATAAAAACAGATTAGGGGAATTATTACTACACTACAGGGATATCTCAGAAGTACCTACTTTCATGAGCTATTTTTCATGAAGGAATTTTTTTAGTGGTCCCTAGGAAGACCAAACACTGTCAAGCTGACATGAATCATTCCTTTGCCTCATGGAGTAATAAGTGAGTTCCCTGAACATGGAAGTTGACAGCAGCAGATGAATGAACAATTTTCAGAAAAGAACATAGAAG